TGACGTGGAAAGAAGATGGAGATCTGCTGACAAAGGGACAGGGGAGGAACACACGCGGACAAACCCCTCGGTGATGCCCGAGGCTGCCAACACACAAATGAAGGGCGGTGCTGAGCCATGGGGGGTGGGGGGAGGCAGCAGGGAAGCCGGGGGCTTTTATGGTGTGCAAAACGAACAGACAAACAAAGCTGGATTTTTTTTTTTTTGCTTGGTTTTCTTTTACAGAAAGTACGCATGTATCTTATTTAGTTAATATTTATTAAACTTGATACATATTAATTAAAAACATGAGGAGCATGAAGGAGACAAAGTCATCTATGACAGCCCGGTGCAGGTAGAACCATTTCTCCGCTTTGGTGCCGGGGATTTTCTAGGACAGAGTGTCTCAGACTTCACTGAGCACAAGAGTGACCTGGGGAGCCTGTTACAGCAGAAGGTCTCGAGGGGGCCTGAGAATCTGCATTTCCAGCAAGTCCCCAGGGATGCTGGGTCTGCAGACCACACCTGGACTGGCACTGTTCTAGATTCTGCTTACACGCTGTGTGCAACTAAATACAGCAAATAATAATTATAATAATAAAAAAGAGAGGACTATTCTCCAGGGAGCCAGCGCCTGACCGCAGGCCCAGCCACCAGACAGGGTCAGCCTGGGAGTGCCCCGAGGGGCCACCTTTGCCCCTGCCATTGCACACAGAAACCGTGGACCTGGATGGAAGAACCAAGATGCAGGTGGCAGGCAGGAAGCCAGTGTGGTCCCACAGTGTGGCGTTTCCCTACTTGTCAGGGGCAGCTCCAAGGCCAGTCTGCCCCGAGGCCACGCTGTGGCTGAGCCAGGAAGTGAGCACCAGTGGGGACTGCATCAGGACGGACCTGGCCTGGAACAGAGGTTTTTGCCAGGGCTCAGCAGTGCGTGGACTCCCCTCCCGGGTCAGCTGGCTGAGACATAAACTGGCACATCCTGTGAGGTGGATATTATTACTGTCATTTTATGAACGAAGAACCCGTGGCCCAGAGAGGCTAAGTAACTTCACTAGGGACACACAGCTTGGACACAAACACGATTCTGGTCAGCCTCAAAGGCTGTGCTCTTATCCACTTGGCCACACTGCCAACCTGTCCTCAGCAGCCAGGGAATGTGGCAGATGAGGCCACAGCTCCGAGAGCCTGGCCTGTTCTGGGACCATTGCCCGGGCCCTTGACCAGTCTCCACCTGGGTCTCCCAACTGGCCCAACTTTCTCCCATCTCTGCCACTTGGGAAAGCTGAGCATAGGGGTACACGTGACTGGCTCAGCCCTGCTGTGGCCCCTCCCACAGAAACCCACCACCCCGAGGTGGCTGGATGCATGTCCAGAGGACAGGCAGTAACACTGCACCAGGGTGTGACCAGTGGATCTGACACCACGTTGCTCCTGGAACAGAAAGTCCTACTCCAGGCCCCCAGGTATCCTCGGGTATACTCCAGGGTATCATCCTGCGCAGCTGGCCGTGCTCCCATCTCTGGCCACGGTGGACATCTGCCCGGGCCCAGCGTAGAGGAGTCTTATAGGAGCGATATTTGTTCAGTCCTGGCCATCTCCCATCCCCCCAACACCCCTGCCTCGGTTGTTCGGTTGTTCCTGCCACTTCTTACTCTCCTGCTCTGGGCCTCCATCATTTCCCCTCTGGCTGGACGCAGCGGCCTCCTCCCAAGCCACCCTGCCTCCAGCCTCGCCCTCTCCAAGGTTCCCTCCACACTGCAGCCCAAGGGTGTCCTCTAAAGGCCAGATCTGGAGTGTCCCTCCCGGGGTCACACTGCCTGTGGTTCCTGCAGACCTCCAGAGAAAGCCCACCCATGGAGCAGGGCTTACAAGCCTTGTCTGATGTGACCCCGCCTGCTCCCCCCTGCCAAAGCCTCGGGGCTCTCACCAGGATTGTTTGTTTGATCCTCCAAAGCCCCCGGGGAAGTAGGGGCCACCATCTCCCTTTCACAGCCCAGGAGCCTAAGGTCCAGGGTCCCACAGCCAGGAAGCAGCAAAGCCAGGTTTGGAACCCAAGCCTCAGTCTGAGTTCAGGGGGTCTTGCTGCAGCCTCCCCCCACCCAGCACAAGCTGGTAAGTTCCCCCTGCAGCGCCCTCCCTCCTCACACAGCCCCCAGCAAGGGGGCTGGCCAGGGCCTGGAAGAGAGTTCACCAGCTCCAGCCTGTTCAGGGAGGGGACCTAACTCCAAAGGGAACAAAGAGCTTTGAAACGAGAGACAAGTGCACCCCATACCCAGGAGCCTCTCTGCTCAACAGTGGAAGGAGAGGAGCTGGCAAATGGTGAAGATGCCAGGCTTGTCAAACCCCCCTGGAGCAAGTCCAAAGGGACCGAGACACTGCAAGGAAAAACAGCACCGAGAAGAGCAGCAGAGCCAGGCTGAGAAGCACCCCAGCCACCTGGGGCTCAGGGCAGCCGACCCTGTGAACAGACGCTGGGCCCCTAACAGCTCCAGCCAACAGGTTTCTCTGATGCCCGCAGGGTGCTGGTGGGGCAGGCAGAAACATCCCCACTTTTGCACATGGGGAGGCTGAGTGATTTACCCAAGGTAGCCCGGAATCCACTTGCTCCGGCACACAAATTGCTTTTTTACTGATGCACAGACGTGGACTTGCTACTTTGCAGAGTGGCGGGGCCGGGAGCTGTGCGGAGGACAGGACAAGGGCCCGGCTGCCCTCTGCCTTGCCTCCTGCGGGAGAGCCTGGGTCAGATGTAATTGACTGAGATGTAACAAATCTCTCCTACAGCTCCACCCACTCCCGTGCCCCTCCTGGGTGTGCAATTGCTCCTCCTGGATCTCACTACCATTGCTCTGTAGAGCAGGCCCACCAGGCAGGAGCCCAGAGGCCTCTCTGTGGGAGTGGGTCCCAGTGCTGTGTAGCCTCCAGGCCCGCAGGGTGGCTCACCCAGAACCAGCACCAAGAGTCAGCAACTTAGAGCCGGCCCCCAAACATGCAAAACTGGGGGGATCGTTTGAGTGGAAAGTGAGGTTGATGGGATTGGGGGCTTTGGCTCAGGTCAGCCCCAAGGTTCCAAAACCCCTCCAGACTCCCCAATACCACGGCTCCTCCCAGCCTCACCCACTCTGTTAGAGGCTCAGATGAACAGAGCTGCAATGATCCACGGGGGGCATAACATGATCCACCCCAGCATTTCACAGATGAGACTGAGGTCTAGAGAGGGAGAGTGACTTGTCCGAGGTCACCCAGAAAGGGGGACAGAACTGGGCAGCTACGTCCTGGCCCCTCCAGCTGCACCCACCTTTCCCGAGTGCCCTTGTTCATGTCCAATGATGTGTCTGGGGGTTGGAAGCCTCGGAGGCTGGGAGGGGCTCTGTGGTGGGCGGCCCCCATCCCTGCTGCAGAGGCCAGGGGAGAGAAGCCGCAGCACCTCCGTGGGCCGCTGCTCTGAGCAGAGAGCGACAGCACGCTCCAGGGAGGCCGGCCGATGCTCCCCGGAGTCCCCGCCCCCACCCCCATGGATCCCAGGGGGCACTGAGGCTGGGAGAGCCTGGGGGTCCTTCCCAGATCCCCAAACCCTTCAGGAGGCCATTTGCAAGTGGAAACTCAGTTGATGGGGAGACCAGAAGTCAGCAGGATCTGGGCACAGGGTTGGCCCTGTCTGTCTCTTTCATCCCGTCACGTGGGTGCTCCACAAACCACTGCCAAGTGAAAGAACGAACGAACAGAACCCCACACTGCCTGTGGCCCAGCCTCAGGGGCAAGACAGATTTTCCTGAAGTTCCCAGCACCCAGGCCCTGAGAAAGCTCGCAATCAGTGCACAAAGGATTAAAGCCAGCCCCTCCGCCGACACAGGAGGCACGTAGGTAAGAAGATCCCTGGTCACCCGGGCTCCACCCTCAACACCACTGGAAGAGGGGCAAGGTGGGAAGATGGGCATGTGTGCTTCCCCAGCAAGCCTGAACTTTTGGGGGTGGGAAAATATCATTGTGCCCAGAACCCCCAAGAGCCTGGCCTGGCCTGGGTAGAAAGGAATGCTGGGGGAAGGCTGGCAGGGTGTCCCCTCTGGCTCTGCTCAGCTCCAGCTTCCTGGGGAACTTGGAAGAGGGGCATGCTGGGGATAAGGCCTCCAGATGCCTCCTTATCCCGGAGAAGGGTCAGTGAACTTGTGCCTCGAGATGCTTGCCTCAGAGCCATAGGGGCAGCCACGAGACGCACACTGGCAGGACCACTTGGGCCCACAAAGTCCCTGGCTTTGGGAGCACAGGACACTGAGTGGGGTGAGATGGCAGAGCCAGGAGGGCAGACAGGAAGTCTGTCCTGGAGTTTTGGTGTTTGGAGAGTCTTTGCATTCCTGGCTGAAAGACCCAAATGCCAGTCTGGTGCTCCCCCTCCCCCATTTAGGCCGAGATTTCAGACAAGGGTGAGTGCGAGGCAGGTGGCAGTGACAGAGGCTGATGTGTTTGAGGCCAGCTCTACCACTGACTGGCTGTGTGAGCCTGGACAAGTAACCAAACTTCCCTGAGCTTTAGTTTCCTCATCTGTACAATAGGGCCAATGCCCCCTTGCTCACGGGTGTTGGGCAGATGGAATCGACGGTTACGTGCAGGGTAAGCACCCAGCACAGTGTCTGACAGAAAGCAAATCTCAGTAAATGAAAGGTCCCAGCTCCTGACCGCAGAGAGAATGGGGGCCACCTCCTCTCGGAAACTTTCCCTACCCAATTTCCCTCAAGTCCAGCCTACGAGAGAGACACGGCGTCCCTTGGCACAGTGGGTCCCTGGCCTCTCCCTCAAGCCCTCGCTCCCACCTTGGTCTCCGTCCGCAGAGGCGCACTTTGAGAGCGGTCCGAGACGGGACGGGGGACGCCGGCCCCGGCCGCTCCGTGGGGCAGGGACCCGGCGCAAGGCGGCAGGGGCAGGCTGCACTGGGCGCTCCAGACGAGGTGGGCACTGAGCCGGGCTTCACCGCCTGCGTCCTCTGCCCTCACGCCTCGTGACCCGCGCGCCCGCTCGTCCCTTACCTTGAACCATGGGAACGGCGCTGCCCCGGCCGGCCGAGGACTTGGGCGCACGTGACCGGGCGGTCCGGCGTCCGTCCTGGGCAGGGAGCAGCTAGTAGCGACCGCTCAAGCCCAGGCCACGGCTGCGGCGCTGCTGGGGCCGGGCGGGCGAGGCGGGCGCTGGAGAGGCCCCAGAGGTCCGCGGGAAGCGACTGCGTGCCCAGGCGGGAGCCCCCTGCCAGCTCCGGCTGCGGTCGCGGCTCCGGACGCCCAGGCTGGCTCCCTGCGAGCGGCACGCGCGCAGCTCCA